CAGTTTTTAGTTATATTTATATAAATTAGTTAAATCAGTTTATAAAAAATTAAAACTGATCAGTTTTCAAATTAGATCAGTTTACAAAAAATTAAAACTGGTGGTTTTACGATTAGATCAGTTTAAAAAAAATAAAATAAATTGATTTTGGATTTAATTAAAACTACCATATACCACTGCATACAATACCTCCCAAATACTACCTCTCACTAATAATATCAGGTAGTATTCAAGAAAATTGTTACTTGATAATTGATTATTACCCGGATATATTAATATAATAATATAGTAAGTAAGACAATAGTATTTTGAATTTTATAATAATGATATATCCTGCCACTAATACTATTTCTCTCCTAATAAAATACCTCCCAGGTATTAATCAATTTATTAGAAGGTAAATTAATTAATACTTGGAGTATTGTATGCAGTAGTATATAGTAATTTAAACCAAACCATTATAATCTCTAGTTGTTTCTTTCTCAATATATACCTTTAATATACAATAACAAATAAAGAGATGATTATCTACTGGAAAAAATTCTTTCAAAAAAATAAATAAATAATAATACAGTATGTATCAAAAAAAATTGACCTTTTTTTTTTTAATAATTTTTTAAAATTTTATTTATAAAAAAAAAAATACATTAATAAGGAATTCGATTGCTATCATTATTGATAATTAGCTGACAATGGCATTTCATTGATTTAACAAGATTAGCTAAAGTATCGGTTGGAATTTTTTGCCATTCTTCAATCATGAAACATTCTAACTTATCAAGATTTGATGTTAATCACTTTTCCACACTATTTTTAATGATACCCATAGGTTTTCTATAGGGTTAAGGTCCGGACTATTGGCTGGCCAATCAATGATCTCGAGGAAAGTCTCATCGACAAACTCTTGAGCAATTTGGCTCATATACTTTGGGTTATACATGTTGCTGAAATTCGTAAATCCTTGACGCAATTGATGCAATTATTTGACGCAATTAATTGAGTCACTATTAAAACATATAAATAATTGAGTCATGACGCAATTATTTTTGAGGATTTTGGGAATTGATTCAATAGCAAATAATTTATACCACATGTATACTGGTGACCTATGGAGCATTACCACTATGCTATAGACCCATAGGCTAATGTTGATATTTTATTTTTTAATTATAAGTATATTATATATAAAACTTTTAATAATAATACTTTAATATTATTTTGATATTAATTTGATACTTAAATTTACTATAAATTTGTATATTAAAAAAAAAAAGAATTTTTAGAAATTCTATAATTTGCAATAAAAAAATTTTTTTTTAATTACTAATAAACCTATTTTTTTATAATAAAATTATTAATATTATATAGTAATAATTTAATAAATTTGTTTTTTTATAATAAAATAATTAATAAATAATTAAATCATATAAGTACTATAATATGATAGTTTTGATATTAAGGATTCAAGAATCATATACTGTATACATTTATAAATAATTTGTTTTTTTTAATGTTAAAGTAAGGTATTACTTATAATTTTTATTAATAAAATAAAAGTTTAACTTGTTATATGATTAATACTAAGATATAAGTTATATTGCTATATATATTAGCCTACCATTTATTAAACAAATATATTATCTAAAAAACTCTTAAACAAGAAAAATCTAAAAAACTATTTGTTATGAAAAATAAAAAATAAAAAAACATTTGAAGCAAAATCGTTAACATTGTAAAACATTTGAATAAAAAGAAAAAAGAAAGAGAAAAAAATTGAAACTTTTGTTAAATGTAATTCCTAAACACAATTAGGTGTTTTAGTCAAATGTCGGCACCATGCAAGTCATATGTAACTCAATAAGTTTAATTATATAATGTTTTATAATGTTGTTATTATATGATATAGTTATGTTGTGATGTAAATAATAGGATGACTGAAATATGTTCCAGATATCTATTATATTGTTTTGGTGAGGTGTTATGTATTGTGATTATTAGAACCTGTACAGGATACTAATTATACACTCTTCCAATTCAGTAAATTGTTGTATTGTTTTAGTATATGGAGGTAATACGGAATGTGATTGATGTTTTATGTGTTATAGATCATTTGATGAAGGTAAGCTGGTTATAGTTTTTGTATTGAAATTTGTGAGTAAGGATTGGTAACTAGCCAGAAGATTATGTAAAATCTAGTACTAGTTATTATCAGCAGAAAATAAAAAAACCTCTAAAAAATAAAATACTATCTTTTGAAAATAGGATTGTTTATAAGTTAAGAATGATAAATATGATTGTTTTATAGCAGTTATGTGTAGAGATGGCCTTTACATAGAAAACTTTCTTTTTATTTGTCTTCTCTGTTCCAAGTTATTGCTTAATGTTATTACTAGTCACTAGACCTCTTAGTGCAGACCATTTCTGAAACCCAGGGACCAATCTTATCCTTGAAATTCCCATTGCTTTAAATTAGTCCTCTGGTCTATGTCTTCTCCTTAAAGAATATATTCTGTTAGACAAAGTTTCTTGGAAGGGAGAAGTTTTCTAAAAAAGTAATTTTTTATGGATGGAGATGTGAAAAAGATTTTTTTTTTAATTTATAAATAATTTGTTAATAAATGTTTTATTATAAAAGAATAATTTGGTTTTAATATAATATAATATTGTATATTGTTTTATTGCTGTCTTTAAATAAATTAATAAACACATGCTTAGCAGTTTGATCCAATAACATTTATAACGTTATTGATAAATACAGTATATTAAATTATTGTATTTATTTTTATATAATTAAACTTTGCTTGACAAGTTATTTATAGATTATTTACAAATTTAACAAATAATGAACAAGTAAAGTGATGTCAGATAAATTGGTTTTGACCAGTATCTTTTATCAAAAGTTTTTATAATGTTTGTTATTAAATTATATACTGTAAATTTGTTCTTGTTCTTTTTTAATTGTATTCATTGCAACTTGATGTTATTATTTGTTATTTAAAAACAAATTTATGTAAAATAATAATAAAATGACAAGTACAGTATATTAAAACAATTACGTGTGCAGTATATTGTAAAAAGATTGTTCATGAGAAAGATGTAAGGTAACTGCTTTTTGATAATGTTTTGATCTCACAAAGATAGGCCACAGATTATTTGATTCCTTTTTCAGTAGTTAGTCCCCGGCCATGCATTTTTCTAATCAATCGATTCCCTGTTGATTAGCTGTTACAGTATCATACTGATTATTGGATTTCTGGACATTGATTGTAGGGGTTTGTACGTATTTACACACAGTACATTCCGATATCTTTAATAAAAACTGTTTTTCGAATGCCTCTTTTTGTCGTTCATTGAATTATCGGAACCGAGCTCCGATATGTACAGTGTTTTTTTCGGTAATGTTTGCTGCTAGTGGAACCCCTTGGAAATACGCGTGTTGCCTAATGCTTAACAAAGTGAATGTTTTCTAATGATGCTCCAGATCGATCGTTGGTTCGTTGTTGTATCATAGCATGGACTATCAGTAACAACCAGTTATTGCTGGATTTAGGTTTAAAAGCTTGTTTTTTGAATCAAGCTGCATTAATTTATGATTGAACTAATGGCATTCGAAAAGACGTGCGTTCTGATTGGTCACAATTTTTTCATTTTATTCGACAATCACCGTATTAGGCATCAAAAATCGAAGGCGAGGGTTACTCTTGAAGTACTTTATATATATATATGGTAAAGTTGGACTCGTTACTAGGTTTGTGGTCTGTGGTTGGCATAGACGACAGAAAGTTGGGAACTTATTTTAAACTACTCAGGTATTCTTGTTTACGTAAACACAAAAACACAATGGTGTTGATATGTTGATATGTCCGTTGAGCACATTATAATCGTTATTTCGGACTTACGTTTTATCGTTTACACGACTTCAAGATATAAAGTGCATGTAATCGTGGTCATCTTTGAAAATGGTGTCAGACTATTCACCTTATGCGCTCATAAATTCAAGTAACAAGAGGTAAACAAATGCGTATCGGGAATTAATGTGACCGGCACACATTTTTTCTTTTCTGATACTACTAACTACTTTCCATATCCTGTATATAAACGATTGTATTATTGTCATCTAATTTAAGCCAGACCTTTGGTGTTTGCAAAATCCAAGGCTACATGGGATCCCTTTCGTCTGGAATGACATCTTTCCATTAATTAATTTAATTAAGCAGATAAATTAGTCATTATCATTTAACATAATACCTACTTTTTACCGTTTCTCAATCTTCACACACCTAAATTCGTCACTCAAAAGATTTTTTGAAAATTTAATTTTTACACTGGTTTCACCTGCATAAACTTGCACACATCATATTGTTTAATATCTCATTTTCTCGAAAAGAAACTTCATTTCATCAATCATCTAAAACTCATCATTTTCTCATAAATACATTCGAATTTTCTCAACTTTTTCCCACCAACTTTTCTCTCCAACACACATTTGAGTTTGAGTAATTCTCATCTCTCCCTTCGATGATATCCGGTTCGTCATAGCCATGAACATTGGATAGAGCAAATGAACACAACATAAATATTCGTCACTCTTTTTATTATAATTTGGAACAAGTGAATGGCAAATGAAATATGACTCACGCAAGTGACTTAACCTACCTAAGTAAACCTTCACGTTTCATTGCTAAACTTCAAATTCGAATTTCTCTTTTATTATGATCATTGAATTGGCTTCCCCTCTTTGTTTTCTCTTTTCCTTCCCATAAATCATCTGATTGTAGCACGTGTAACATTTACCATTTGGACTTTTCTCTGGTTGGTCCAACGGATGTGGAATATTGATGGGTTCGAGGCGTTAAAGTGGCATCGTGTAAAGAAATTCGAATTGGTCTGTTTGTGTCTTCGATCATGTTATTGCACATCACATCATCCTTCCAAGATAACCAATGAATGATGACCCTTAAACATTACAGAAATCAATCATCACAATATTATTATTCGCCATGAGTCCATTTCTTGCTGTCTATGATGTGGCAGCGATATACATAAAGTACAACGAAGGTTTTCTCATGATACCTTACAACGGCATGATCATCACGAAACCCTCTCAATTTTGGAGCGCTGAAAATCAGAGATTGGTGATTTATTTCAATTACATTCTTTGCATCAATTTTAGCATTCAAACGTGAGCATCCTTTTCCATTCGTCTTAAGCTATGTTTTTCCTTAAATTTGCTCGCATCTTTACTTCTACATACATTATTTCTTCTCTTCTCCTTAGGTGCCTACTGTTCTTGCTTCAGTGCTTTTGGAACTACCTCGCCAACAATATCGCGAAAACCACTTTTATGGGTAGTTTGGGTATGTCACGTGTTCATTTCGAAATCGCCTGTCCTGTGCTCATTTTCAATTGATCGTCTATTATCTTCATTGATTACCCTCACAGAGTTCAAGTCTTACATTGCATATTCAATATTCAGCGCGATCCTGTTTCCAGTCTTACAGTGGATATTTCGAGACGACGATTTTTACACCGAAATAGTGCCTCAATTGGCATTTGGCATAATTATGCTTATAATTGGATTATTGGGAATTCGTTCGCACTGGAGATTTACGAGATTATTGAAGAAAACGTCGAAGAGTAGTGCCTCAAAAATACACATCATCACAAAGTTGGAGTATTTTAAGGTATCTATCGATATACTGTATGTCTTATGTACTGTGATGTACGCTCACCAACACTAACAAACCAATAACAGGAAATGAACCAATACTTGTCGTGCGGTCTTTTCGTTGGGTCAACTTCCTTGATAACTCTGTGCATCGATGGATTCACTCCCACGAGATTTCTGAACACTCACAAATTTTATACCGACTTCTTAATCTGCCACGTCAATTTTACCCTGTGGATCGTCTATGTCACATTGATCCTGATCTTCTATCCATCGTCAGGTACGGCAGGCGAACTGGCTTCAAAAGGCGTTGCCTCTTCGGTTACAAGTAAATCGGCGAAGAACAATTTTTTAGAACCTCGCAGCAAGAGGTGGTCAAAATACATTCCGGTCACTGAGATTAGTCCTTGGTCATCTCATATTTCTACTCAAAATTCTCGAAATGAAAGTTTGAGTTGGTGCGTGGATGTACAAGAGGACAAGGGTCGTTCAGTAAATTCTACCAAAAATTGTGAATCCATACCCTTGGACGTTTTCACGCCACCACTCACACCACCTTCACCTTATAGACCTCATTCGACACATGGTGTCGAAGGGCCTTCGTCGCCTTCGTTTTATTTTTCATCTGACACCTTACTTCCAAATCCTAACTTTCTCACCTTTACCTCTTCACAATCATCATCGCTTAAGGTCGGGAAATAGTATCCGCCCAACCATTTGCTCTTCCCCAAGAAGCGAACGATACTACGACAAACGGATACTCATAGACAACCAATCAACGCGAAACCAATGAACGTCAAGAAATAGATTAATAGACTAATGTAGATTACTTGACGTTTTTTAAATAAACCATTTTACCGGTAATGGGAAGGATCTCCTTATTTGCTGTAATATATGTGTATAATACTTTTTTCTCCAATATTTTAAGGACATTATCAAATATGTAGTCAGTGAGAGTTTTTATTTATAAATGGAAATTCATAAACGACAAAGAAAGATAATAATACAGTGAAACATGAAGAAATTGTAATAAAGATGAATGATTAGTTGCTGCTAGCTATTGCAAAAGCGATTCGGGTGACCAAGAGTGAAAGTGTAATGGAAGAAATTGTCACGGTAGCAACTTTCCAGCCGGCAGTGTCGGGTAAGTGAATAACCCTTTGTGGGGAAACGGATTTTGCGCGAGTGTCCAGGTAAACATAATATGCATAGGTTGTGAATACGACGCTCTGTGATGCGATGAACAGGGAATACCTGAATCACAATGAAATGAAGATTAGTGATGTGTGGTTGAGCTTTTCCCTCCGAAATATAATGTAAATAATACTTACGTGAATTGGGAAACGTAGAAAGTCGTTATGGAATTGCCAACAATGTGAACTAATGACGCCAAAATTAATAACAAGAGTTGATGTGGGAAATAGACGATCGGATCGTGTCGACTATTTCGTTCTTCGGTCGACATTTCCTCACTGTGAATAGGATCTCTTTCCGCGGCATCTGTTCGCATCTGAGCTTTTGTGGCGAAATATGTTCGTGTGAACTGGATGCAAATGGCGAAGTCGGAACAAAGTCCTTTTGGTTCGAAGATGAAGTTCCAAGTTCATGTCAGTTGGATGCCTTAATTTCACGTGATGAGCCACACACACACAACCTACCTTGCATTTTAAACCATACCGCATCCAGAGGCCAACTGAGAGCCAGGCTAAGAGTGCTGGCAAAGATCGCGTATAATATCAACCATCCTATGGATGCACTCGAAATAATCCTTCCACCTTGATGCATTGCCAACATTATTATGACTTCAGAAACATTGTGAAATATACCGATGGCGCTCCATAATTTTCCCACATCGAACCAGATGATAAAGAATGTGGGAAGAGCAGTGAGTAAAGCATAGATGCCCAAGAAATAATTGAATTCCTCGGTCGTAACTGTTTTGTAGTCATCCAAAACGAAAATCGTGGTGTACTTTTTGCCAGCTGGTTCCGACAACCATTTCATGATGTAATAACCACTCAGAGAAGTCACCAAGGTGGTGAAAATACTTACAGCATCGATTATTTGTTGATCATAACCTGACGGGAAAACACAAAGTCTCATGGATTAGAAATTCTCCTTGGAGTTATCGAAAATTCAAGTTCCATCGGTTAAATACCTTCAATCGGAGGGTGCCATAATGGATAACCGGTGCGAAGTGAGATATCCTGTTCAGGTTTTTGATTAAAGTTGACCGTGATGAAACTAGCAAGCACTACTAAAAATGCCAGTAGAGTAAAGGTTATGATTAAGCAAGGTCCTGCACGAGTCATTTTTTATTCACTCAGTTCGTAAATTATTGGAAAAGTCCAATTTTTATTTTCATATAAAAAAATTTCTCATTCTTTATATAGAAGAAATTCTGATTGATGTTTTTTGTACCTCTTTGATGTGCGTCCATTCCATTGTCGTATGACTTTAAGCTTGTACGGCGTTTTCAAAATATTTACAGCCAATGCTACCAAGATGGACCAATTTTCCTTGTCAAGTTGAAGGGAACGGTCAGCTATTTGTATGTTAAACAGGTTAAACTTAATTGTGGTAATCATGCATATACACCATGTAACAGAACTCAATGAAAACAATCAGTATTGAAATTTTCTGTGCTACGTTGATTTCGCTTTTCGTTGTTTCCATTTTAGATTAACCGTGGCATCTTGTCAAACGATGGTGCAGGAGATCTGAGATATTTCCTTGAGACTTTCGACCTCCTGCTTCCACGAGCGCAAAACGGATCTGAATTATTATTTTCAAGCCAAAAAATAAAATAAAATAAAATCGCAAACTGCATCAATAGTCACAATTCCATAAACTCAGTTTATAAAATATACTTTCACGAGATCTCATATATTTCTTCTCATCAATCTTTTAATTTTGACACATGATCTTCATTGTTACTCCAAAAGTCGAAATTAAATAACTTGGTCATCATAGAATTACGTGAAATGGAGTTTACACTAAAAATTTATAATAAACCAAATCCTGATTCCGTAGATCAGTCAGCCAGCCATCTCACCTCACTCCTCCATGAACGAACATAAGCCCATCAAACTTTTGGAACATGGAAGTGTAGGTTTGTCAGCTTGACATCTTTCGCTTGAAAAAACTGGGATGAAACATACATACGTTTTAGAGAATGTGACATGTGTTCATGCTAAATTTCGGTAGCTCCAGGACTACGATGTCGATCCCTCGAGGATTGGATTCAAATGGGTGACCATGGGATCTGAAAGGTTCATATGTGCTTGCGAAAGAAATCGGGTGTTGATAATAGATCGATTCGAATCGAATAATCTAATTCAAAGACCGTTCAAGGTAGAAGCTGCTCTCATGCATCCTAGGAGTAAAATTATCGCATTGAGGGGTTGGTAAATCTGTGAGATCCAATTTCTCGTTTAAACATTTTTCTTGATTTTTTCTTTTCTTTTTTTTTATTCCTTAGAAGGACGTAACTTGCAAATATATGATCTCTACCTGAATTGCAAAATGAAGACACACACAATGCATGAGGACGTCGTGTTCTGGAAATGGGTGAACGTAAAAAAACTTTGCGTGGTGACCGAGAATTCCGTCTATCACTGGTCAAAGGACGGAACCACCTCTCCCAAGAAGATGTTTGATAGACACATTGAGACTAAGAATTGCGATGAGATCATAAATTATCTCGTAGACGCCGAAGAAAAATGGATGCTCGTAGTTGGATTGAAAGTGATGGTAACTTTCAATTGTCATCAGAATTGTAAATTTTCGAATGGTGCTAAAAATGCATGTTGGCCCACATTTTTAGAGTGGACATATAGTTGGACTCATGCAACTCCACAAAAGAGATACTGATAAGGATATGATATTACAAGGTCAGGCGGCGGCATTTGCGTCGGTGATAATGGAACGCGGAATATATCCCACAAAGTTTTTTATCTACGGTGTGCGTAACCGAGAAACTTCAAAGGTACAACAGGGTAATTGAAGACGCCTTAATCTATTTCGATTCTTTAACACAGAAACTTGATATTTATTCAGCTTCACATAAAGGAAATGGATCACCGAGAAGAAAACCCGGTGGTTCCTGATAAAGTGGTAGACATTTTTTACCAACGGGATAATACCAATGATTTTCTCATATCGATACAAGTCAACAAGAAATACGATTTAATTTTCCTGCTGACAAAGGGCGGATACGTTCAACTATTCGACCTGAGGACCGGGATGTGCATTTATGTGACAAATATTAGTTTCACAACTGTTTTCACGTCAGCTCCAGATGTCGGAGGGGTTGTTGCGATAAATCGGGCTGGTCAGGTAACTTGCGAATTTGTGCCGACAGGTCTTTCGAAATTTCAAACTCAATAAATTTTATGCTTCCCAGATTTTGTCTGTAGTCATAGATGAGACCTATATTGTTACCCATATTCTTGACAATTTAAACGATCGAGGTCTCGCAGTCCGATTCGCCAAGAAGAATGACTTACCCGAAATCGCAGACATATAATCTGGATATAACTTTGTAGGGCTCAAAGTGTTTTTTGTTACGTCTATCCGCTTCGTGACAAATCTTATGTAATTATTATGTTAAAATGTGATGTATAATAAACCTATGTGGCATTCTCTTTTGGAAACTGCTTGTAGTAGATTTTTTTTTATTTCTCTCCTTGATTTACACGAAGAGATACAGACTTCCCTCAAATTATAGCATTGACGTGTTCATTCTCGTCAAATCGGATGTAAATTTTACATTACTTCTTGAAGACTATTGTCATGTATACTGTATATGCTGTATATATATATATGAAAAATACACTCATACATACCTTAATTGCATATGTCATGTAACCTACGTTCTTCAATTTAGAAATTAATGTTTGACAATCGGTTGATAGTTAAAAAAAAATTTTTTTTTTTTTTCATCGCCATTGATTCAGTTCTAAAGATTATTGGATTATTTTAACACGTCTACATGTTATATACAGTATATTGTATTAATAGGATTGGTTCTTTTTAGAAAAACAAAAAAAAAATTTTTTTACCTTTCCCATGGTAAAAGTGTCATTCAGTCAAGCCTTTTCGGATCAATCATTTATTACACGCCGGAGTGAAACTAAATTCATGGTTTTCCCACGTGCATAATAAACTTAATCATTAAAAAAAAGTCGTGACGACAGCACCACATCATTAATATAAATAAGAAAATGCCTTACCAAGGAAACTTGTGATTTACTATGATAACTTTACATTTAATTAACGTTGGCTTTATTAGAATTTTGAAGGTTTCGATGTGTTAATTCAACATCTACAAATAATATTATTTACTATCTAACAAGTAGATTGGGATTTTAGCAATTAAAGAATTATTTTGGATGCAATATGGTGTTTTCTTTTTAGCAATTATATAATAATTGTGCAATCGTGATTGATTCCTTACTTAAAATTGCAGGTTGGGCCGCTGCAAGCTAAAAAAAAAAAAAAGAAGAGAGGAAAAAGAATTAGGGTTCGATCACCCAAAATAATGTTTCAATAATGTGTGTGATATCATGCCTTCAAGGCCCTCGATTTTTACGCTCATTTTCATCATCCGAACCACTTTCGTTTTTCGCCTTTCCTCGCTTCTTTTTCCAACTCGTCGTCGATAACAATCGGATTTTCCAAATCCCCATTATCCTTCATTGTTCGGTTGGGAAGATGATGTGCATGTTTCTCATCTGAGATCTCATGATCAGGTTTAACGGTCTTCGGCTTCGCCTGTTCACCTCGTTCATCTCGTTCATCTTCGTTTCTTTTTCGTTTATCACCGGTCTTCTCTTCGTTCTCTGATTTTATAATTTCAACTAATTTCTGTACATTTTCGAAGTCGGATCTAACTCCTTTTTGCCCCGACCTAACTCGGTCTTCACTGTTTTTATAATGTTCTGACTTTCTCTCCAATTCTGATTCTGTATGTGTCGTTGATTTCTGATTCTTTGATTCGTCATGATCGTTTTTACTCATCCTACCTTGCTCGTTCTTCCTTTCTTCAGCTTCCGCTTTCATATGAGCAACTACCTTCTTCATCCACTCGATAGTAAAATTTTTGATTCGAGTTTTGCAACTTTCCGACATACTATATAGTGTCTTACCCACCCATTCGGATCGCTTAAGCTCCTTCTCTTGGACGACGTGCGCACAATTTCTTGCGTGCTTCTTAAAGGTCGGTACATCCATATGACGCTTGAAGCGACTGCAATAATCAACCACCAGTTGCTTGATTGCACTTCGAAAGTCACTCTCGCTGAGTGCATTTGCTGATGATACTTGCTCGCCTCCGACCTTGTTGCTCTCGGCCTTCTCCCGTGCAGCTCGCTCCCTCTCCTTTTCCGCTTTTCTGGCCATAGCCTCGGCTCGCTCAATGATGCCTTGTATTTCAGCTTTACTAAAACCATCAATTGTCTTCATGTCATCCTTGACAACCGGTCTTTCCCATGAAGTTTCCTTGGTATATTTGTTATAATAATATGTGTTCCCATATTCGTCGGTGGTTTCAAACCAATTTGGCGCGAGCGGAGGTAGGGCTGGTTGCTTGGGAGTCGTTGGCGAACGGGATCCATATCTGTTCTTTCGCCAATACCTTGATGATCCTGGATCTCCGTTCTGACTATCGTTGGGATGTGACGATGAGGAGTTTCGCGTGATAACGGCTTTGTACGATCCAAATTTTTGCGATACCCAATATTCCATTTGTGAAATGTGTTGAAATGGAAAATGACTATCGGTGAAGCGAACAAAATAATCATGACTTGATTTATAATCATAATATTCGTATTCGGGAATTGTTTCGTTTGTTTCATTTGACTCTCCACTGTCTGAGTTCTTTCCTTTGTCGTCTGGGGATCGGGATTCCTTATCGACATCGATATCCATGGCATCTCCATCCTCCGTCTTCATCGAAGTTGGTGGAACGAGGCCCAGTTCACTGTACTTGGGAATCTTGTAGAATTCCGGAAGGTTATTCCACTTTTCAAGCAGCTCCTGGCAAATCTTTCCAATCCTATCATCGCGATTTGACAACTTCTCGACCCATTCTTTGAGGTGTGATGTCTCAACTCGACGGTTCTTGTACTTATACGGTAGCTTATCAGCAATCGCAAGGGTCTTCTCAAGTATATCGTCATTATCTTGGTGTTCCCTTAAATAGGTTTTTAGCATTATCGAACCGTGAAGTTTCATAAACATTTTGAGTATTCTAATGTCATTGGTGATCCTTAGTCGATAAAGCAACCCGGGTACCATTCCACGTTTATCGATGGAACGTAACATGAGGCCTATGAACGGTAGAACGTCGTCCGTACTCAGTATGGGCTTCAGCAAGTCTGCCTCGATGGCATCTTGCGATAAGATATTATCACTGGTCTCCTTTGTCCCTCCGATAATACCTCGACATTCAGGTTCTCCACAGTGGCACGCTTGTGCCTCGGATCTGAGTGATCAGAGGATGAATGATGTCCATTTACGAAGCATCAAAAAATCAGGAGAGCGCGGCGAAATTAATAGTGAACACTCACCCATAACGATCCGCATTATAATCAAATGTCAATTCTTCACCTTCCTGAACGTCCCGAAGTGTGAATATGCCAATTCGATACTTGTCTCCGACCATCCATTTTTGAACATAGCAATTAGGTGCACAGGAATGATTAATGAATCGGGCAACGCAGCCTTTCCCCGTCGCATCAATTACTTCTCCAGCTTGAAGTGACATGAAGTAGAAATGCTTCAGACCTTCCTCGCTGTACTGCTTTAGACGCTTCTGAAACACATCATTTTTGATCACTTCTCCGAGGTACTCCATTACGAATTGATTCTTGCACAGTGATTCCATCGCTCTTAAACCGTATCCTTTGAGGGGTAGAGATATGACGTCGACTTTAGCGTATTCTGCCTTTTGAAATCTAAATTAATATTAAAATATTAATTATTGCTGTAATAACAAATGAAAATGTAATATACCTTCTCTTATGAAAATGAACATTGGTCATAACTCATTAAATTTACTTAATGAATGCTATTAACAAAATGCACTTCCATTCATCCATCTAAATTTTGAACATTAACATAGCAGCGATACCACTTTTGAATTATGTATGACTTTATTCGTTCCCAAATGCCCACTATCAATGAATTAGATAATATGATTTTTTGAAGATTTTTCTCTACCGAAATTATCAAATCTTCGATCCTATTTCAAATTGCATACCTTTGGTTCAAGCAGTATTCTCCGCATGGACAATCATTTTCCAAGCATTCAATGAATAGTTCACGGTTCACACATCCAGCAATCTCACCACAGGCCCTTTTTATGTTGTCTTTACCCGGTTTGTATTTGCAATTGCATCTATAATCCTCTACGTGACTAACATTTCCTACCCCCTTCCCTCTATAAAAGGAACGTTTAATCTCTTCGTAAGTTTGTCTGGCCTTTTCGGCCTGTGAAGGAAGATCTTTGTACAATACTACCATCTCTTTATTGCAAGAAATAGAATTAAAAGACTTAGATTTGCGAAGATATGTATAGAATGAATAGACGCAAGTACATTTGAAGAAATTGAAGATTTAGAGTTTAAGGAAATTTGAAAAGAATGTTGAAAAAAAATCCGATGTTCCAGAGGTGAATGTTTTACAAGCCACATAAAATTTCAAATAATCGTTCAACCTGCTGTAGGACTGTCATACCTGATCGTGCCAGGAATTGCCTTTCGTGGCTAATATGTAAATGTAATCTCTTTATTTGGGTAAATTTGTCACGTGTTTATATAAAAAAGGAAATTAAACCCCAAAAGATCAAAAAGATCAGAGTACGTATTGGGAAAGAATTGACTTTATTCTTCGAATTCCTGGAGAATCTACTCCAGAGAGGATTCTCTCTTAAGATGTAATTGGTTTCTAATTGTTCTAATTTCACATTAGATGATTTTTATAACGCCGAAAAAAGTAAAAAGACCGACGGTTGTTCAAGCATCCAATTTGTTGAATTGATCTCATAAAGTTCAAATTGAGGCCTTTAGATTTTTTTACAAATTTTATCATTTCCATCGTCACTATTAAAATATTAATACCTATTCAATTTTTTATAAAAAATTTTATGTTAAAAAAAAACGATTAAATTAAAATTTTATTTATTTGAACAAATTTCTGAAAATTCAATGATAATTAAATCTCTTTCTAAATATCCATTCATTTTAAATGCATGTTTTTTAAAAAAAATTTTTATATGGTTTCAAAGAAAAGTATATCTAAAAATTTTTGATGAAAAAAAATAAAGTCAATTATTAACAAAGCACTTCTTGTTTATTTTTATAATTAACTAAGAAGAAAAAAGAAAAAGGAGAAAAAAGAAGAAACGAAATAAAAGTTTTATATAAAAATATAAAGAAAAATATATATATCTAGGAAAGGAAAAAAAATTAAAATTAAAATTAAAAAAAGCAAATAACTTGAATATGAAAATTTTCAAGTATTAAAAAAAAAAATAGAAAAAGTTTTTATTATTACATTAAATATATATAAAGAAAATAACAATATCTCTTATATAACTTGCTAAGTTAATAAGCCCAATACTAGATTTTTTATATAAACTATCTAAACAGTAAGAAAAATAAATATTAAAGCCATTATATATCTGAAATAATGCTAAGTAATTATAAATACCTATTTAGAAATATTAATAAAATTATTAAAGTTGTTTATTAAATTTTTGAAATATAAAATAAAATTATAATTGTTATTAATAAATTTGTTTATAACAAGTAACAGAAGATTTATAGTTAGATATTTTTTTATTTGATTTTTTTATATTAAAAATTTTTTTAATTAATGAAAATTTGAATTCTACTTAATTTTAATAATAAAAAATATATTAACTATATTTAGGATTTATAACAATATTATTTTGAAAAGGTGATTAAAATCAAGTGAAATTATATAATTAATATAAATCAAATAAATTAATTATTATTATAATTATATATCTTATTTATATCATTATTAATAATAGATCAAAAATGACTTATTATTTTTAATGTTAATAATTCTTTTGAAATTTTAATAAAAAAATTTAATAAAAAATTATAGTTACTTGTTTTTAATATTTGGATTTGATTTAGCAATTGAAAATATAATAATAGAAATTTTCAAGTTGTTTATACTTGCCATTTCACCAAATATTATAAATTAAATATACAAAAAAAAATATTTCAATTAATAAGTAAAGACAAACCAGTAAACAAATTTTAAATTAATATAATACAAAAATTAAAGTTATTTATATTATTACAATATAAATTGTTAAAATTGAATAGTTTAAAGATATATCTAATTATTCATATTCTATTAAAAATAGTGACAAGTTTAAATAATCAAAAATTATTAAACAATTAGTAACAAATAAAGTTAATAAACCTTATATACTATCAGCTATTATTATTGTTATAAAAAAACTTGTAAAAGAAAAAGATCTTGATGTTATTATTTAAAATTTAAGTAAAAAAGAAGTAACAAATATTTAATAAAGACAATAAAAATTATTAAAAAATAATCTAATTAATTAAAATAACTTAGAATAATATATTTAAGATACTTTAAAATTCTTAATTAACAAAAATTATAATATAACTTAGAATATAATATTCAAGATGCTTCAAAATTTTTAATCAACAAAAATTATAATATTGAACAATTTCATATTATATTATAGCTATCTCAAGATCTTTGTTTCGCAAGTATATAACATTTAAAAAAATTACAACATTATGAATAGTTAACTTTTATAGATTTTACTTATAATATAAACAAGTATTTCTGATATCTTTTTACCTTTTATATTTGTAATAGTTATGGTTGCTAGAATGTTGATATATGTTTTTTTATTAACAAAAAAGATTAGAACTAAAAGCTAAAAATTAACAACTATTTTTATTACCAAAGCAACACTATTTCTTAAATTATAAAGTATTTTTTTTATAATATTTAAAATTTTTTAATTAAAAAATTGCTTTTTATTTATTTATTTATTTTTTATTTTGATCAACCAGCTGGGCCTTGTCATAGTATGCTTTATTATTTAGAATTACATATATACTTTGTGTATTACAAGAAATACTATCTATGATCTAATTAGAATATCACATGACTATATCGATTTTTTATTTTCCATATCGACTTGTTGCTATCAGTTTACTCCATAAGGGATAAGTGCCAAGGCTAATGTGCTAAAGCTTCATTAGTATTGCAAATTATACTAATCTATTCTATTTTGATTTTTGTATAGTATTAAGAGGAAGTTGAAATATAGTATACTGAAGTAATATCTATCTTGAATGAATAGAACTCTATTGAAAAAATCTTCTACATTCTATACTATACCCACTCCTAAGTTACCCAGATAGTTAGGTTACTTATGTCATCTAATTGCTTATAACATCGGTCTTACTGCAGTAACCCAACTTAAAGAGACAACTGATAGAGTGGTCTCGAAAGAATCTTTATAATTACTTCTTTAGGAAGAGACACTCTAGGTATTATGGAAAAGGATCATTAAACCATCATTACTCGAAACCAGACTTCTTCTTCACACTTTTTGACTATTTTCTGACAATTATCATAGCACCAACCGGACAATCGTCACACCATGACTTCTTTTATGACTAGGTCACAATCTCAATGCCCGCTGGATCAGTATATGAATTGGCTTCTTATGAGAAACAATGCTTAACAGGTTATAGTGCCAGATACCATTTTTAATCCAGTTCAACTGCCTTCATATGAAGTTGAACTGGTATCTTGTGATCTGACCTGTAGAGTACTAACCACTGCACTATTGACCTACAGGTCTTTCTAAAAATTTATATAATATTAGTTTTAATTATATATTATCTATTAATAATATTTATTTTTTATTTATTTAATAAAAATTTGAAGTTTAATTATAAATAAAAAATTTAATTTTTTAAAAAAAGTTTTTAATAAAAGTTGATCTTAAACAAATTTAAAATTTTTTTAAATTAAAATTCATATAATAATAATTAGTTTTGTAGAATTACAGTAAAGAATAACTTTAATTATTACAATTTTAATAGTTTAATTATAAAAATTTTAACTTGTATTAGAAGTAAAAAAAATTTTTTTTTTTTTAAGTAAACATTATCACTTTATTAATCATAAAATTGTTTAAAATTTATACATGGAGAAAGTAACAACATCTCTTATATAACTTGCTAAACTAATAAGTCTAATACTAGCTTGCTTACAGAAACTATTTAAATGACATGGAAAATAAATATTAAAATCAATATATATCCTAAATAGTACTGAGCAGCTATAAATACCTACTTAGATTTATATGTAAAACTATAAAAAATTGAAAATTGAAAAAAAAAAAAATACTAAACAAAAACAAAAAAAATAAATGTAACAATACTAATTGTGAAGCTATGGATGCTTCAGATAAAATCACTAGGTGCATCACACTAGTAGTTCCATTTAATTGAAGTACTATTGCACTTCCAGAAATGGCCAGGCTACTGTCCAAAGTATACAATAGTGTTGATGCTATATCTTTTTGGTAGATGGTTAGTTGTGGTAATAGTATTGTTATTGTGGTGATGTGATTTGTAATTGGTTTATTTGTTGATGGTGTGATTTTGTTTTGATTGTTATTGCCATAAAAGGTTTTGTTTACATTAATCAAAGTGTAGTATTTTGGTTGTACAGATTTGTTTAGAAAATTGATAGTGTTTTATTGGTTAAGTTTGGAATGTTAATCAATTGACAGGAGTAAACTAATTGTAGTTTTTTGATAAGAAATTTTTTGAATGAGATTTTTTGATTTTTGGTGGTGCAGCAAAATATACTGAGTAATAGTGAGAAATAAACATTGAATATATTACTGGTGCTCCAAGTTAACAATATAAACAATTTTGATATGAAGTCTGGTTTTTTGAGATAAAAGGAAGTCTTCCAAACAAAAAGTATAGTTATTTAAAAAGATTTGTGTATTGAAAAGAAAAGAAAATAGAAAGAAACCCAAGAAAGATTTATAAAGAAATAACTGCTACAAGCCTTCCCTCATGCAATCCAAAGAAAAAGCAAGGTCTTCAAACTTGCTTTTCTCTGGCCAGAGATTCCATCCTGATGCACCAGTATATTTCTTTAATTTCCTTGAGGCTCTTATAGTGAAAAAAAGAAAGTGTGAAGAACTTTTGGATATTGAAAAGTGAAAAAAATATTTGTTTCTTTAATTTTAAAAAAAAATTATTATAAAAGGAAATTTTTTAAAAAAAAGTTGTGTATAAGAAAGAGTTTTTCAAGTAAAATAATTTTTTTACTTTAAACATATAAAATTTTATAAAATTTTTTATATTAAAGTTTTAAACACAAAGTTTTAAGTTATTTGTTTTGAAAATTTCTAATAAAATTTTAATTTTTTGCTTAATAAAGTTAATAAAGAATATTTTAAACTATAT